GTCAATTGGTATGCCGTCAACTCCTGGAGCCTTGTTTCTTGCCAATTCCTTCAGAGCAATTTGAACTTCCTCTTTTATCACCATAGGCTCTTGCTCATATGTCATACCAGATACTAGATACTAGAAGTATGTATATTTGTGTTTTATTGACTGTGTGAATCATAACAAATTATGGCTAACCCTACATAGTTTAAAATTAAAAATGTGTGCTCCATGGATGTATTTTTTCGTTCTTTTGTATTTTTCTTTTCCTATTCCATCTGTATGCTAAGCAAATCATTCGAGAAACTGGACATTATAAAGAAGAATGTGACATCAGGTTGGAGGAAGACTTATTGACAACCTGCATTTTGCACATGGCAAAGCCTTGCTTGCTGAAAATAAGGAGGACTTGAAACATTTGCTGTAGAGGATCAAAGACTACAGTTTTCAATACATAATGCATTGCCACATCAGAAAACAAAAATCCTCACCATAAAGTCAATAGGCAACATCATGTTAAATGGAGAAAAAAATGGGCATTATCAATGATTTCTGATCCACAATTAGGACTGTTGGTACCAGTAGCCAAGTCGTATAAGGAAAATCTGCTGTCAGGAACCTCTCTAAAGTGCTGAAGATCCAGAATGTCACTATAAAGACAAAGATGTGCCTGGTCCAAACGATAATCTTTTCAGTTCCTTACTATGCAGCTGAAAGTTGGACAGTGAATAATGATGACAGAAGAATCAATGCCTTAAGTTGCAGTGGTGGAGAAGAATGCAGACTATCCCATGGTCTGCCCAAAAGACAAACAAATATGTTTTGGAAAAGTTGCATCCTCAGTGCCCCTTGGAGGCAAAGATAGTGAAGCTTCCCCTCACATACTTTGAGCATGTTGTTAGGAAGGGTCAGTTCTTGGAAAAGGACATCATGCCTGGCAAGGTGGAAGATCAGCGAAGGCGGGAGAAGACCATCAGTGAAATAGATTACCACAGTGTCTGTATCAGTGGGCTTAAGTGTGTCAGAGGTAATGAGGATGGCACAGGATAGGGCAGAGTTCAGATCCATTGTTCACAGGATCACTGTCACTTGTAGTCGACCCTAGGACACTTACCAACTGTAAGGTTCTGTGAAAATAATTATAAATTTTAATAATGCTGCAAGTAACTTTTGCTTGCTGTTCTGGTAAAATAGCATCCACATTATTTTAAGGCTTTTATAATATTTGCTTGAAATGACTGCAGGGAAAACTTTATATATATGACTTCAGAAAGGGTGCTTACTTTCCTTTTTTTTCCATTTTCAGATGAAAAACCTTGCAATTGCTGTCTCGCTCATAGTTAAGGAGTCAGTTCTGATTCATTGCCAACTCCCTAGATTGCACAGGAGGAGGAGATTTTCTGTCTTTCTCCTGCAGATTGGCTGGTGGATTTGAACTGCCAGAGAAGCTCAGCCTTTAATTACACTCAACAGTGTAATTGCTATATATGTTCCATGTGTATATTTCAACCCTTAAGTGTATATGAAGAACGTAAACTCACTGTGGTCAAGTTGAGTCTGACTCATAGTAAGCCTCTGCCCATTGATTTTTACAGGAGAAAGCTTTTTCTCCTTGAACAGCATCTGGTGGATTTGAAATGCTGACCTTTGGTTAGCAGCCTGATACATTACACTGATAATAGCAGTTTTCCTTTGACCTCAAGGGGAAGTTTGGGTTGAGATTAGTATAGTATTTTACATCATTGTTGTTGTGTGCATTGACTCATAACTGATCCTGCAGCAGGTTTTCAGAGGCAGTTTAATCACATGGGAGGAGATTGCTCATCTTTCTCCTGTGGAGCAGCTGCTGGATTTGAGCCTTGTGACTTTGTGATTATAGCACAGATCCTTATCTCTAGGCTACCAGAGCTGCCTAATTATCATTGGCACACTAATGATAATGTACAGCCTTGGTACAGACAAATGTGGGCTTCCTGAATGACATCTTGATAAGACGCAGTGTTTAAAACAGTGAAAATGTTGATTATTTAGTAGAGAGTCATTATGTCATTCAGTATTCCTTGTTCCATCTAATGATGGTGTGTGTATTCATAAACATTTGTGTCCTTTTAGCCTCTGACAGTGCTTCTCAAAGCAGAAATCCAGAGCAAATGGCTGAAGTGCGCATAGATATTAAGAAGCTCCTGCAGTTTCTTGCTGGACAACAAGTAAATCCTACAAAGGCCTTGTGCAGTGAGTCTGAATCTTTGTTTTGTTTTTTGCATTTCAAATATTTTAATCAAAACTCTAATGGCTTGTATACAACCTTATAAATACAAAATAATTAGAAAAATAGTTATACAAACTCTAGTTTTCTAGGATAGTCAGGTTACCCCTTATGCAGAAGAAACTTTTGTTGTGTGTAGCTGACCTTTCATTGGGTTTTCAGAGACTGTCAATCACACTGGAGGAGATTTCCCATTTTTCTTCCATGGAGCATCTGGTAGATCTGAACCTGCACCCTTTCTATTGGCAGTGCAATTTCTTAATCTTTAGGTTACCAGATCTCCCTTCAGAAGAATTTCAAAGGCAAAATGCCAGCCAAGAAAACAATGCCTAGTGCTGTGTTTGCTCCTGGCAACCTGTTGCCACACTAGGGTGGGCATGTTGAACAGGTGGTCTTGTCTGACTAGCCCAAGTGGGACCAGTACCTGAGGAGAAGCTATTAGAATTTGTTGGTGAGAGTATAGGTTAATAATGATTTCATATTGCCATGAGGGGATGCTTTTCCTCAGAACACCTGATGGGCTCAGCCTCTGGTTTCGGTCTCTGTCTTGTGACACTCTGCCTTCTCTTTGTTTCTGACCTCTGCCCTGGCCTCCCTTTCTCAGATCTTTGTATCTCTCTCCTTCCTGGTAGCTGAATGCAGGTGGGAAACACATCCTCATGTCAGATTATGCTTGTTATTCACTGACCACAGGGCAGAAGGGATTCCTTGCCAAGAGCTTGTCAAGGCTACTTTTGTCTTCTTACTGCTAAAATTGTAGCAACTTAAAAGAAATTTTGGCCTACATTTAAAGTTAGACTTGTGATGCAGTAACTTCTAGGCTGAACTCTTGGCCGTCAGGGACCTGAGCTGAGAAGAGTGACAAGGTGGAGGAGTGCCTAATGCCGTGTGAGGTGACAGTCACTACAGAGACAGGAAGGAACCTTGTAGAAGGCCCTGGGAGGAGCAGCTAGGTCCAGCATAGGGTGATCACGAACAGGTGGATTTTTGTTTTCCTGGGTAAGGCAGCAGCATCAGAGGACCACTGAGAGAGACAGAAGCCACGTTTGTGCCCCGCTGCAGCATCTTGAGCAGCTGGCATAAATTGCACCCCACTTATAAGACTGGGAGTAGTGGTCACTGTCTTCCATTGCAGAGTCCTTTAAAAGCCTCAGATGGTGTTTCTATGAGCTTGAAAGTGCATATAAATCATGGGGGCCCTTAGCAATACAGAGAACTAGTCACAACTTTGCTGCTGTCTGACACCTCTACCCTGAACCCTTACATCTAAATTCTAACAAAGTCCTTTGTGAGATAAGAGTTAAAATATTCCTCTTTTCTAAATAGTGTAGAAACTAGGGGATAAACACTCCCAGAGGTATTGGAGTGGCAGGAGAACCATGGCCCTTCAGCTGTGCCATGCTCTTGAAAAGCCACTTAATGATGCTTTTGAAATAGTAATTCAAGGAGATAAATTACTAAATGACTTGAACCTGAATAAAATTTTGAGGTAGGAAGAATTTTATTAAAAAACCTCCAAGGTGAACTGATTGCACTTTATTTCATGTCCTGCAAGTATACTTTCTTCCTCAGGGGTTGACCTTCAGCCACCTGTCCTCTAGGTACTTTCTTGGTGCCCTTCACTATCCCGCCCTGGGGCAGGCACCCTCCCTGGTTGTGCACCTTGGTTGTGCTGTCAGAGAGATTTCTGTATGTCAGGGTTTGACACTCACCTTACCATTCCAGTCAGATGTGAGGGTTTCTTCAGCAGGAAACTTGTGTGATTTTCATGCATCTATTTCTTGCTCAGAGGCGTGGTGTGTAGTATGTGACGTGTTAGGCTGCTAACAACAAGGTTGGCAGTCCACATCCACCAGACATTCCAAAGGAGAACAATGAACAGTTTCCTCCTGCAAATATTTCAGCTATGGAGACCAGAAAGAGGGTCGCTGTGAGTCAGAACCAACTCAACAACAGTGGGCACTTTGAGTTGCTATGTCTGTATCTGACAGTTGGTTGTGTTTCCACATTGTATGCTGCCTGCCTTGGGTTCCAGCAGGGTGGGTGTAGGTCTTAATGCGGGACCTTGGGTTACTGAGCTGTATGAACTAGCCCTCCTCCCTGTTCTACAGTGTGTTCTGCACCCTTCCCCTCTCTGTTCTTGGGTAGGGAGGAGTACTTTACCCTCCTATGTCTAGGTGATGAGGTGGTTACCCTTTTTGGACAGGAACTCACTACCCTGTGTGCTCTCCATGGGCATAGTGCCTGACCATGTCCTTCAAAGCATTTTGCAGATGACTAAAGTAAAGGGATGTTGATGAAAATGTGAAAATGCTGCCCTTCCTGCTTGTGTGCAACACGGCCTGACATAAGAGTTAGGTGCAATCTCAGCCTCCTGACTTTTTGCACCACGTCCATTATTGTTCACAAGTACAAAGCTGCTTTTCAGGGTAGTGATCCTAATCCTTGATTAGAATTAGTGGAGTTGCTGGGAAATATGATGTAGAGGTTTTTACCAGCAGCACTTGCCACTTTCTCTTCTTCCTCATAGCCTGCTGAGGATGAACAGTGTGAGATAGATCCAAGATTCAACACTGAATATAAGAAGGTGTTAGAGGGTGCAGAGACTGTAGACTCACCCAGAGCTCACTTACCTTTGGAGAACATGTGTGGGCAGAAGTGTGTATGGTGGCATGGGCCTGTAAATAACCTTGTTGTTTGTTTTTCCCTCCCCAGATATTGTGACTAACAGGCTTGTTCATTTTGATTTGCTTCATGAAGATATGTCCCTTCAGTATTTCATTCCAGCACTGTCTTAATAACATATTCCCAGATAAGGGAGTTCACAGACCTTGGTCGTAATGAGAAGAAGTGATGGATTCATGTGTTCTGAGTTGTTTGCCTCAGTTCTCACAGTAGCATAAGCCATCCACATTTTATTTACTTCCATTTCTAGAATGTTTTATTTAACTAGAAATGGAATTCATGAAATAAAGCTGAATAAAGACATTATTTCTTATTGTTTCTTTGCTCCCATGTTTCTTCTGTGTTGCTTTTAAGGCACTAGAAAAAAAGGTGGAACTTATTTATCCAGAACTTAATTTATTCAAATACTAGTTTTTATTGTTGAAGCTTTAAGAATCTCATGTATTTAAACCTAGTAAAGTATCAAAACGTATAAGAGCATGTCTTTTGAACATGGTGCTTGGTATTTTAGGGTGCTATCTCCAACTCAGCATACAGTTGTAGCAGATAGTCCTCTGCATGTAGCTGATCTTGAGGAGTTGAGGGAACTGTACTTACCTCTTCTTGCTCTGATTCGTGGAGCCTGATGATAGAAAGGATAGCTTCTGTCACCTTGTCATATGATCATTATTGAGAGCATTGTGGGATGTCATAGTATTAGAGCTTTTTTCCCAACTCCATAGACTTGTCCTTTTCCTCCTCAGCCTTGCACCCTGCCCACATAGCACCTGGGAGCTAGTCAGGAGCTTCTCCTGCAACCCTTCCCAGTGCTATCCCACAGCCAGCTTTGGTCTTGCTACTTCTTTCTCCCTGGGGCACTGTATCTCTCACTCTAGAAATAATGCTACTGTGTTTTTCTTTATAAACATTTCTTCTAGACTAACAAAAAATTCCAAGGTAGTATCTGTATTAAGTAATAAGACTATATTTCTGTTTTATCAAAAGGGTTTCCGTTACTAATAGTCATCTTTGTCAAGTATGTTCTTTTTTCTATTATGATGCAATCTCTTATGTCTTATGGATGTTAACATTATAAAAATTATTTTAACTTCACATAACAAAGTTGAAACTTAAAAAAGTTTAAAATGTAGAAATGAGAAAGTCAGCCCCCCAAAAAAATCCCCTTACTTTTCTATATTTGATATTTAACCTGTTTGTTTGATTGACTCTCCTGATGTTCATTAATATTATTTTAAGTGAAATGTAATCTTCTGCCAAGATGACATTTAAATATCTCACTTGTAGCCAAATTAATTAGTTGTAAAAATAGAAAATCATAATACAAAATGAAATAGTATGTGAAACTAGTTATATGAAATTTATATTTTCTGTTAAAGAAAACTGTTAGTGACTTGCCACTCTAGAAAATTGTTTACTTAAGAATTTTTAGATGATGATTTTGAATGTATAAAGTAAATAGAATGTTTGTAGTATAAGTTAACAGTAGAATAGTGCATTTCCTCATTTGCATTATACAAAACATCCTCAGACTTTCTTTCCCAAGCCCTTATTCTGTGAGTTTCATCTTTTCATGTTGGCATGCTATGTGGAGGTGCAGCCGAAGAGAGGTCCTTCAGGGTGAGCTCTGTAGGTAAGGATGTGGTGGCAGTTAAGAGCCTGTGCCGTAGCTTCATTTTGCAGGCCAGGCACACTGAGAGAGATAATGGGCTCACCTGCAGACAACTGCCATGAAGAATGTCATAGGAATTTTGGTTTTTGTTTGTTTGTTTTACAGTACATATAAAAGTTAAGCTTGCACTATAATGTAGTCTACTAAATGTGCAATCGCATTTTGAAAAAGTTTGAAATTGTAATGAACATTACCAAAATGTGTCACAGACACATTTTGGGCACATGCTGTTAGAAAAATGGTGCCAATAGACTTGCTTGATGGAGGACTGCCACAAACCTTCAGTTTGTGTAAAATAAAACAAAAACCCCAAAACCCAGTTTCTGCCAAATACAATATAATGAGTGTTTCACTTCTCTGACCGTTAGGAAGGTGCCAGATGATGAGATGAACTACTCAAGACTTTAGGTAGACAAGAGGTCAGGGGAGAAGAACTCACTGTTGAGTCTCCTCTCCACTTTGCTCTTGACTCACTAAAAGTCTGGAGTTCATTCCATCAACCAGTGCTGCAGGTTAGAGAAAGTGAACCATGTAGTGACCCCAGTGTGATTCGGGAGGAGCAGTGATCAGAACCACATGGAACGAAAAGTGAAACAGTTCAGACTCCATCTCGGTAAGAGACCATGCCAGCAATTTGAAGATAAAGTAAGAGATGACTAAAGACCAGAGAATATACATTAAGACTCTTCAACAGCCACATTGAGACCTGCCCAACAAAGACCCTTGTTACCACCCTGCTGAATCACTGTGAACCATTTTAATCTAGCTTTTTGAGCTACGATCTCTTAACTCTCATTAAGTAAGTAGTGGCTATTATGCAAGTAAGGTATATGGGAACCTTTGTGGGGAAATGGATAGGCCTTTTGATGTATAAGGTGTTTGGAGCCATTATAGGAGGTTGGTCAATCTTATCATGCTACTAGACTTAATAAAACCAAAACAATTAATCTCAGAGGTTGAGGGAAGCCCTCATTATCTTCATGCATGTCCTTTGGACCTAGGGTCTTTGCACTGAGAATGTATAGAACCAGGAACAGAGCTGTGACATGTGGGAGAAGCATGGCATGTTGAATTGAAATTCAGAGGCGGTGGACACATGAACTGGTGGATTTCTGCAGTGTCTAGATGACCCACAGAACAGAGACTGAGCACCTACAGGCAGGGTGGCATGCCTCTTGACACCGGAGAGCTATAGGAAGCAGAAACACTTGCCTGAGCAGAGAAGATACCACACTGAGCAAGGGCAAGTAGCAGAGGCCAAGCTCAGAGCAGAAGTCAACAACTCAGCAAATCCCTTAGGGCACCTGTTAGATGCTGTCGAGTTGTATCCCTATAAACAACAAATCTGAACCCTCTCCTATCCTGTGCCATCCTCATCGTGCTCACTGCTGCAGTCATTACATCAGTCTATCTCTTGGAGACTCTTAATTTCTTTTGCACCTCCACCTTTCCAAGCATAGTGTCTTTCTCCAAGGAATAACCTCTCTTAATTAGCAACATATCCAAAGTATGTGAGACAAAGCTTTTTCATCTTTGCCTTTAGAGAGCACTCTGGCTACACTTTCTCCAAGACCTGTTTATTCTTTTGGCAGTCTGTGGGATGTTCAATACCCCAGCACCACAGCTCCAGCTCAAAGGCATCAATTCTTCTGGCATCCTTATTCATTGTACAGCTCTCAATTCCATAGCAAATGATTGAGACCATGGCCTGAATCAACCTTAGTCTTCAAACTGACATCACTGCTCCTCAGTAATTTGGGGAAGTCCCTGACAGACTTGCTCAATTCAATGTCTCCTGATCTTCTCTTCTAGTACCAAGGATGTTGACTGTGGATCCAATTATGATTAAATCATTTACAACTTCAATCTTTCCTCCATTTATTGGTTCAGTACTTATTGATCTAGTGGTAAGGGGTTTTGTCTTTTTTTTTTTTTTCTTCTTTTTTCTCTAAGAGGATTTTTGTCTTCTTGATGTTGAGATACAAGCTATATTGAAGACTTTAGTCTTGATCTTCTGTAGCAAATGTTTCAAGTCTTAAACTCAGCAAGCAAGTCTGTGTCAACTGCATAACCCAGATTGTTGATGAGTCTTCCTCAGATCCTGATCCCACATTTTTTCTTGGGTAGAGTCCAGCTTTTTGAATGATTTGGTCTGCATATAGATTGAATAGGTATGGAGAAAGGATGCAATCAAGACCCATACCTTTACTAATTTTAAGCCACGCAGTGTTCCTTTGCTCCATTAAGACAATAGCTTCTTGGTATAGATAGATAGATAGATAGATAGATAGATAGATAGATAGATAGATAGATAGATAGATGATAGATAGAGAGATAGATAGATAGAGATAGATATATAGATATAGATATAGATCCTTTTGATTAGGTATTTATTTAAAATAAGCTGTCCCAATGGAGAATTTTAGTTTATGCTGCAGGCTTCTTTTCAGCTGCTGGTTTCTTGGTGGCTGTAGGCTTCTTTCCCACTGCAGCCTTCTTGCCCACTGCAGGCTTCTTGGGCTTCTTCATATCAACAGCAGCTTTCTCTGCTCCTTTCTTCCCTACCACAGGCTTCTTGCTTGGAGGAGCCCTCTTATCAGATTTGACCTCCAGTGCTTTAGCCACCTTAGCCACCCGGAGTTTGTGATTTCTGGCCTGGCGAAGAATGGTATTTTGGTGCATCATCTTTGCATATGGATTAAGCTTCAATGTGATTCTTAGATTTTTCAGTGGGTTCTTCTTCAAGACTCTGCGATGAATCTCCTTGTGTGGTGCTCGGAGGGCCCTCTGAATCTCTGGGCTTTTCAAGATTCTGCTGAGGTTTGTATTCATCATCTTGTGCATGGGAAGGTTGTAGTTGCTCTTGAGGGAAGCAGCTTTCCGCCAAGTGCCATACAGCTCATCTAACTTTCGAAAAGCACTTTCAGTCCAAATGCAGAATCTGCCCACGTGCCCACCAGGAGCAAGTTTCAAAATGTTCTATTTGCTTACATTAAGCAGAGTAATTCCAGGGATATTTCTGAAGGCCTTGATGATAACATTATCCTCGTTATAGGTAACGCATGGTCCCCTGCGCTGGATGTGACGTCGATTTCTCATTTTACCTTTGCCAGCTCTCATTCGCTGGGTGGCATAGACCTTTTTGATATCATTCCAGGCCTTAAGTTTCTTAAGAAGCAGGACAGCCTCCTTGGTCTTCTTGTAGCCCTCAACTTTATCTTCGACCACCGAAGGAAGCTCAGGAACTTCCTCAATATGATGACCTTTTGACATGACCAGCGCAGGCAAGGCCGAGGCAGCCAGGGCAGAGCAGATGGCATAGCGCTTCTGAGTTGTGTTCACTCTACGGTGCCGACGCCGCCAGGTTTTTGTTGGTGCAAACATGCTGCCTCCACGACACATATTTCCAAAAGCACCTTGGCTAGAGTGATGAGTCCCACCACC